TATTATTAGATATTCCAACCGTACTTAAGAATATGTGTTCTTCCTGGTGATTCTTGGGAATGTGACACGCTATCAACAGAATCGTCTATTATAACGAACAGATACGATGTCCCTGAATTGATCAATCTAAATGAAAATAGTTACGTGGGGCTAACGGAAGATCCGTGGAATCTTTCCGAATTCGTTGATTCATCATATACTACTGACAGCATTCCCGACTATCAGGAAACGGCGACACCATATCCTTTGATTGAAATTGCAGAAACAATGGAAAATAAGTATGGTTTAAACGCGGATAACGCTTCTGAAATTAATAAAGAGAATAGTTATCTGCAAACGCAAAGTGATAATAAAAAGTACTATTCAATGCTGAATCAATTAATACATCATCTACTGTTTCACAAAAGAATTACTATTCCTTTGGAATTTTTAACATTATCGTCATTATCCACACCTCCTGGCCTTATTGCAAATTTACCGTTAGCCAATTACCTTGTACAGAACTATATTCAACAAAACAATAATTTACAAAATACCATTATAACCAATATGAAATTGCAAAATACCTCTGAAAATAGTGCAAAAGATACTGAACCAGTAGTATCAAATGAAAATTCAGAAAACTCCTCGGTATTTGATAATGTGGAAAACGAAAATAATATAATTCTAATTACCGATAATGTTGGAAACAGAAAGTATTTGACTATTGAAAGATATAAATTATTGAGTTATCAATTGGATTCACAATATGTTCAGCTTATTCCATGTATAAGAAATACTCGGATGCCAAATATTACTGTCTGTGCTAAGTATTATGTATGTGAACCTGGAATAGCTTCTGTAACAGAATATTCATGTCCATTGTTCACAGCATTTAACAGATTTACAAGAACATGTGACGTAGAAAGTTATAACAAGTGTATAGAAAACAAAAATAATGCAAATGCAAATTCACCTGGAAGTATAAACAATATATTTGAAACGAATGTGTCAAATAAAAATATATGTATGAAACATGAAAAAAAAAAAGATCCCACGTCTGAATCGCGTTATTATATTTGTTATTCTTCTCCAGATAATTCACAAATCAAATCCATAAGAATGACATGTCCAAATGGCTTAATATTTTGTGAAATTAAGAGAGTTTGTACAACAGAACATCTTTGCAAACCAATATAAAATCGCCCTTTACTTACCTTGTGTTGGAGAATTAAATGCAGATCCAATTTCGGAAGATGTGTCAGTACTAGACGAGCTATGTGCTGGTGAAGTTTGAATTCTGAGAGGAGTAGCATAATCCAGTGCACACATTACTACTTTCTCTATACCACTGAAACATTTATATATATGATATTATATCATAATTTCGCTTAAAAAATAAAATCAAGTTAAATGAATGTTATCTAATTACTAACTTTTACCTACTTTGATTCAGTCTTTCCAGAAGTTATACTCGAAGCTGGTTCCTCGGTATCTGTGGTAGAATCATTGTTTCTTTCAACTGTAATAGCTGGCACTGATGAAGATTCATCAATTTCTGATTTGCTAGACAAGACATTTTCCTCCTCAGTTTTGGTTTTTTTTTCATAGGATTTATCCAATTTCTCCGAATCATTTGAATTTTTCTCTGTTCCATCTTGATGACTTAGTTTAACAAGTTGTTGCAATGCCTCTAACACTATTTGTCTATTAGTTTTCAACATAGTTAATTTATGTGATATAGCAAGTCTTCGATCAGGAACAACAGCCATTAAATTAAATCTTATGTCTTGCAATTGCTCTCCTGTTGCCATCCCTAAACGATCTGTTATTACTCTTCTAAATTGTTCAGTCCACTCTTCGTGTTCTTTCCACGGACCATGATCCATAGGGTATGGTTTCAAACCATCCAATTCGAATAGTCTGCCATTAATTGGTACATAACTAACGAAATGAAAAGCTTCTCCAGTAAACCTACCAGTTGAAACTCCAGTATTTTTATCTTGCCGTCTTTTGGCTTGAGGCATTGCATGAGAATTATGAGCACAAGCCAGTTCAGGTGTATTACCAATTGCCCATCCTTTATTTTCTGGACACATACCAGATGTATGCATTTTCAATCTGGATAAAGTTGTTCCCAAATGAATATTTGGACAATTAAGTAATACGGAGAGCAGTGCATGCGTTGCACAACTGTTGGGCACAACCTACAAAATAATAGGTTAGTCAAAAACAAATTTTCGAATGTGAATATTACCTGCAAAGTATGTGTACGAAAGTTATTGCACCTGTTGTGCAAAAAATATATTGTTAACAATTTCCTCATCTTTTACAAAACTTTCATCTTGCTCGACAACTTTACGTCTGGACCTTCTTTCTTCTATCCAACGGAACAGGAATATAAAACCGTACACTGGACCCTCCAATGATTTTTGCAAATCATATATTTCTTCTACTTGTACGCCTTTTACTCCAAAATCCTCCAATAGCAATGTAAATAAACCTAACAATATAAAATATTTATTAACATTGACTCTTTTAATATACTCACTAATATAAGTTTTCTAACCTAAAAATGTCTAATGAAATAGCAAAAATATGTTTTGATTAACTGTGATAAAGTTAAAATACATTATACATACATTGACTGTATACAAATATACAAAACGATGAAATGATATTTCAACCAAAATTATATTGTATATGCAATTTTATCATGAAATACAGTACCATAAAACAAACTACTGTAATCTGATAATGCATACACGCAAATAATTTAATATTAATAGTTATTAAAATGACATACTGTTGTGGCTATTATTTTATACCTGGGTCACTTTCCAATTCTAGCCAACCTTCCGTTAATCGATTTATATCAACTGGCATTCTGTGTTGAGTTTCAAATTCTACATTTAAAATAAAGTTAACATCCTTCTAGAAATTTTATTGCACTGTGACAATTAAAGGCGCCATATTACATCAAAACACATATCATGTGACCTAGTCACGTGGTAAAATACAACTTTTAAAAAAAAGAAAAGTAATCAAAGCAATTTCCAATTATTTTTATTTTTATTTTTTTCTATTTGTTATACATTGAACAGTCATTCCATAGAAATCTATTTTTATTTAATAAAAAAAAGTAGTTGTTACTATTTTAGTTTAAAAAAGTCTTATATCAAAACTCATAAAATAAATATAAAGTTTAACAATTGATAAAAATTTAATATCAATGCATGAATATATCTACTTATCAAAGAATTTTCTATTATATACGTATGATATTATATAATTTTATTCAAACCATTTCACAAGATGCATGAACATGCATGCATATGATTATGTGCGGTAGATCGACAGCAGCGCATTCTATTAACAACATCAATAAAATCCTTTAAATGGTACCATACGTATCATTCATATTCGAGTGATTTGTGTATTCAATAAGTTCGTACTAAAAATAGTTAATTATTATGAATATTTGTATATTAATAATTAGTGCATTATTATTCGTTCAACTATCAGAATGCACGCTGTCACCACCCAAAGACAGAAACAATAAGAAAAATAAAGGAAAGATTGAAATCAAGGTAGAAACAATTGTATCATAAATCTTTTTACGATTGCATGGTATATTTATTTAAGTTCGATTTCATACATGTTGCGGTTATGCAGAAAGGTCCCATAGAACAAGATGTTTTTAGCCGAATCTTGGTGGTAAAAAATCCTAAGACGCATGATATTATTCGAGAATCAGGATTTTATTTCTCTAATACAACTCGTAGACGATTTACAGGAGACGTTCTAGGATATATTACACCGGTAAGTTTGTTACTTTTTATGATATACATGTTTACTATTTATGGTTATACTTTATGGCACTATGTATGATATATTTATTTTAATAAATACAATATACTTTACATATATGCATAAATCTTGAAGTTAGTCAAAATGACAAACTGATACAGAAATAACGATAAAATACTTCTTTCAGTGGAATAGCAATGGACTTGAAATTTCTAAAATATTTCATGAAAAATTTACTATGGTATCGCCAGTATGGTTGGCATTTCCAGAAGGTAGTGCATCAACATACAAATTGTCAACTCATGATATTCAGAAAAAATGGTTAAAGGAGATGAGAGCAGCAAATAATGAGAACCATAATGTAAAAAGTATGTTAATTTTCCAATGTAATATTGATTGTCTCTTATGAGTAATTTATATAAATATGTAGTTATCACCTGCAGTTTTACCAAGAGTGTTATTTGAACATTGGTCGATCAATGACATTGTTGGATTATACGATGATACGGATAAACAAGTTGCGCTGATTTCAGCACTTGTAGATACTGCAAAGGTACTCATAAATATATAAAGATATTCAATATAAAGATATACGTAATATATTAAACAATATTGTGTGACAATTATGGTACAATGTTTCAGAATTTTCATTTTGATGGATACGTATTGGAAATATGGAATCAGTTTGTATTAACAGGTGTAGATACGCAAATTGTTGTGTCATTGATTCAACTTATCGCTCAGCAATTGAAGAACTACAACTTGGATATAATTTTAGCAGTGCCACCTTCAAGAGGGTAAGTCCTGCCTTATTATCTTTAACTAGTAGATTGGAAGATATTTAAGTTCCAAAGACACGAGGAATTATAAGAAGGAATATTAAGAAAGTTATTTATTTAATAAATAACATATGTTATTTACTCTTCAACTTTTCAGCCCAAATGTTCAATTATTTGACAGAGATCAATTTGATCAATTATCGTCATATATAAAAGCATTTTCTTTAATGACTTATGACTATTCGAGCATTCAAAGACCTGGTCCTAATAGTCCACTTGATTGGGCAAGAGAATGTGTAGAATTATTAGTACCTGAAAAAAGTCCTAAAAGGGCTCAAATATTGTTAGGTCTTAATTTTTATGGGTATAGTTACACACCTGAAGGTGGCAGAGCCATCTTAGGTTCAGATTATTTGAAAATTCTTGAATCCTTCAAAGGAAAAATTCAGTGGGATGATAATAGCAAAGAACATTTTTTTGAATCAAAGTAAGACACAGGATGATAAGAGAATTTATAGTTTAAGTGAAACTGTTTTAGTCTAGAATGAAATTTGAGGATGTATTTCAGGTCATCAGGGGGCAGTGGAATTATCTTTTATCCCACGTTATATTCTATTTTACATAGATTAGATCTTGCAGCAGAGTTGGGTACAGGTATATCTATTTGGGAACTTGGTCAGGGATTACATTACTTTTACGATTTATTGTGAAATTTTTCACATATATTACAATATACGTGATGTTAAAAAAATAAAAGAAGTTACCAAAAACAATTTACAAATAAATACATTCAGACTTAATATTTATGAATAATGTTCATATCGCACCTATCTTTACTTAATCAAACGTTATCGAATTACTGTACAGTTCCTTTGGGTATTATTGCCACGTTATTGTTATTCTTTAGTACTTGTTCTTCCCCTCTTCCTTTAAACATCATCATAGATTGAGGTCCTTGTATGATATGATACATTAGTGCCCAGCATAATTTTGCTGGTAACAAGCTGTTAAAAATAAAGTATTATAGATTATTTGTTTCACAAATTTAAGTTAATATCAAAAAAAAAAAAAAAAATCATGTAATTTACCATTTCAATGGTAGAAGATATCTAACTGATCCAGGTAGCACAACAATTACTTGATTTACTAATATACCAGATACAACTTCTTGTGCAACATACTCGGGTTCTAACATTGGCATCAATCTATAAATTATACATTTCTAAGTCACTCCGAAGATTAAGATTTTATAGAGGCTATTACGTACCTAGGTTTTACCCCATGAAACATACCGGTATTGATAAAATAGGGGCAAACTAATGTGGTGTGAATTCCATTGTAATCGTGAGCCTAGGAATGTTGCAAAAATTTCATATATTTCTATATCTATATGTAAAAAAGAAAATTAATGAAAAAATTATAAGTTAACTTTTCCTACTTTCAGTTCAGTGAATAGACTCTCGTGGTAACCGATAGCCGCAAATTTAGTCGCCGAATAATCAGTACAATTGTAAGTGCCTAGAAGTCCAGCCACACTTGCCACAGTTACAATATGACCGTGATTATTTTTCATCATATCCCTCATAAATGCTTTGGTAATCTATTAAATGTAAAATACTGGTTGAATTAATATTATTTTCTCATTCAGCGTTATTCGCTTGAACTTACCCAATAATGGGATAAAATGTTCACTCTGTAAGTACGCACGATCTCGTCATCCGGTAGTTCCCAAAGCGTTTTTCCATACACGTAACCAGCATTATTTATCAACAGCGTTACCTAAATCATAGATAGATCAGTTTATTATTTATTAATCTATTATTAGTAGAACAATCGACCATTAATATATTGTATTAAACATTTATTAGAAAAATTAAATTGCATGGAATAGGAAAAACTCTTTAATAAAGATACACAAACTATTTCTAAAAACTCATCATTGTGAATCTGTAAAATTTCCATGAAAAAATTACGAGTTTAATTGGCCATTCTCACCACTTTGGTAGCCGTCGGCGTTATTTATTTAAAAATTTTACTTACCGATCCAACTTCAATCTGAACTATCTTTGCTATTTTGTAAATTTCTTCCCTGCTGGTGATGTCGCAATAGTAACCCCAACATTTTCCTCCATTGCGTCTGATCTCTTGCACTGTGTCCTTTAAACCTGAAAGTTTCACGGAGATGTGGGCAATTGATAGTTTTCTTTTTCGTTTTTAACATTATATACAGTACATTACAATATTTTACTTGCCAGCCTTGTTAATGTCCCAGATAACAACGTGTGCTCCAAGGTTCGCCAATTTGATCGCAATCAACCGTCCAATTCCTCCCGCACCTCCCGTTATCAAGGCAATCTCACCTTTTATGGACTTCGAGCGATAACGTCGCGGAATAAATGTCAAGATGATAGCCTCGCTTATGTAAATAAGCGTCATCCCCGTAAAAATCAAAAGATCGTATATTATGGTGACCCATTCTGGTAAATGCATTTATATCCTTGAAACACGAGAGATTTTTCGTAATTTAAAACTCCTGGAATTTCTGGATTTTTGTATCCATGTTTATATCATAGTCTTGTTAAAAAAAAAGGCGTTCAATAACTCGGAAAATGTCTAATATAATAATAACGGGGAAATTAATAATATTTTGAAGTAGTTGCAGTTTACAAATTTTACAAAAGTCGGTCAAATCAAACGATTTTTTCAAACGTACTACAAAATTAATTATTTAATTAATTAATTCGTAGTTAAAAACTTCCGTTTAGGACCTTACATTCTCTTCCAATAAATAAATACAATTTAACACAATTTAAATATTGCCCCCTTGCTGTTATAAACTTCTCATTTGTTAACGATAGCAAAATATAGGCCACTGACTGACTGAAAGAATACAGCAAGATAAAATTCGATACAATAAACAAATTACAGTCATTTAAGAATCTGTTTTTTTTTCTTTTTTTTTCTTAATATTTAATCCAAAATGTCGCAAAAAAAAATAATGACAGCACACAAGCTGGACATTCATGGAAGAGTTACGAGAGATCATGATTGGCTCAGAAAACACAGTAGAATAAAATCTGCTCTAAGAAACAAATTAAAATTATCGAAGTGTCTTTCCGAATATTTAAACCATACATGTAAATGTAAAATTAGTTTCCACTATGGAAACTAAACGTTTATAAAAAGTCACGATACGGAACATACATAATGTCTTTTTATTCTACTGGTTTAACTGGTTTTTTGAACATTTAACA